GCCCTGCCCTGTGGACACCTCTGGTGGGTGCCATCTTGAAACAATTGGGCATGTCCTTTCAAGTTGTTCAAAGTGGTTGTCGAACCTATACGTTGACCGTCACGACTCAGTTGCTAGAAACATACACTATAGAATATGTCAAAAATACGGTCTCACTCCTCCACACTACTCACAGAAAGTGGAATCGGTTCTAGAGAATGAGAGGATAAAGTTGTATTGGAATCAACCAGTACCAACCAAAACGATCATTCGCCATAACAAACCAGATTTGATAATCTTCGATAAGCCAGGAAAGACAGCCTTGATAATCGAGGTTGCAATATCATGGTTTACTGGTATTGAAAGACAGGTACAAATAAAAACAAATCGTTACTGTGTTAATGGTAATTGGGAAGAAGTTACGAAACTGCCATACCCAATAGGAGATAATTTACTACGTGAATTACAAACTGCAGGATGGAAAGTTTCGTTCTTACCTGTGGTCCTTGGCACATGTGGCGAAGTGCTTTCGAACCTAAAAGGAGATTTAATGGAAAAAATTGGCTTAAATCAGGTTGCAACTGGTGACTGTCTCGAGAGAATGCAACGTAATGCGATTTTGGGAACGAGCAGGATCATTAAAAATCACCTTGCTGTAAGATAGGAAAATGGTGACGTCTAATGACCCGTTGTGCTTGCACATGCGGAATTAATCAATGACTTTTGGGAAAAAACAAGAAAGGTAGTGATTTTAACATCTGGAAAAGTCATTGAAGACCCTTATTCCAAATATCATCTGAGGAACATTGTAGCTGAGAGTGAGTAACTCTCAGTATCGGTGGGCTAAACCCCAGCGAGTGTCTAAAAGGGCCGAGGCGACTCGAAAGTGTCATGTATTAGTTACATCGTATCCAATAAGTAGAGGTGCTTTGCTAATAGCCCAAAGAGAAAAGTGAGTAACATATTCAGCATCAGTCATACCACCATTTCCAATTTCGAGCACGAAATAAGTATAAAACACATGAGGTTAATTATAGAATATAAATTCTTTACTTACTGTCAGGATCATTCCATCCACCAGGACCAGCTTTATCAGCAAAGTCATTGTTCTAAAAATGGAAAAGAATATTCTAATGTAAAAAAAAGTCAATATTATCTTACAATATCAATATTAAACATCATTGAATTCCAATTATCTCGAATATCTCCTTTTGTTCGCCAACTATTTCCAACATCAGCTGCCCATAACGCAGGTGTATCAACACCCCATTCTATACATATGCTTTAGGAATAATAAATAGAGATGAATTTCTCAATAATGAACATACCACACAAGGAAAATAAGATAGGTCGTCCACTAGCATTTAAAGCATCTCGCATAATTGGATATCGAACTTCAGGAATAGTTCCATCTGTATTACAATTGTCATATTTTAAATAATCAACATTCCAAGATGCATATGTATTAGCATTTTTTGTTTCATAACCAAGTGAACCAGGTCGCCCAGCACATGTCTTAAATCCTGCATCTAATATATTTAGTGATAAATAAATTAACGTAATGAATATATGCCATTATCATACCTGAATAAAGGCCAAATTTAAGTTTTCTTGAATGAACATAATCAGCAAGGGCTGGTATTCCATTTGGAAAAGCTTGAGGATCAGGATGAATAATACCTTGATTATCCCAAGTCAATTGCCAACAATCATCCAGATTCACTATAGAAAATAGAAAATATTTTTCATATATATAAATAAAACAAAAACAAACCATATTGTTATCCAGCAGCTGCAAGACCTGTAGCTACAATAGCATCTGCAGTTTTCTGGATTATTTTTTCACTAATATTACGATGAAAATGATTCCAACTATTCCATCCTTGAATGAATCAATTATAAAAACAGATACATAAAAATGTTAGTGTTTTACCCATTTGCGGTGTTCTACCCAATCCATTATTCAGCTCATAAGAAACTCCGATGAAAACTATTAGGTATACCAACGTTGAAGTTATCATCTTCTATTATTAGTGGAGTATAAAAATTATTATAGCTTGGTAAGAAAATATTGTCCTCTTATCTCATACTTTATTGATACAGTAACATGCAGCAAGCACATTGACTATGTCCACATTACTATCTTGGTTTCTGTATACGAGTATGTTTTTATGGATATACACGCATTTTTTCTTTCCATATCTGTAACTCAAACTATGACAGTGAGGGTAAATCAAACGAAAAAAAAAGATCAACCTCTATCACTAATATACAAATCAATTTGCTACTCTCAACTCTTGCTTTTCAGTAATTAGTCTTCTTTTGTAAGAAGAAAGAATTGAATGGCATAAGGCGTGGACTTATATAAATTTAAGACCAACGTACTGCATAATAAGATAATATGTGTAAAAGGTGTAACTGTGGCTGTTAGTCTATCGGTGAAGTACTCATACTCGCATCCACATCTTTCTAAAAAAGATTCATCAAAAAGAATCATTGGTACTGATTTTACTTACATAAACCGCATTATATTCTACC